TCCGCTGGAGACGGAAGACCCTAATAATAATAACCACAGAATCTAAATGAGTCAATTTGAGGCTTTTCGGCAGAACACTTAGAAATGTGCTATATTAATGACGTTATATCACAGAATGATCTTCCATTATGCCAATTTTTAATGATATATTTTTATTATATTCATCTATTCAACTCATATTAAAGATTATTTCGTAACTATTTAAGAATATTGATATTTTAGGGAACAATGAAGACGAAACTGTACCTTGTTCTTTACACTAGTGTAGCAACAGCACCCATTTTATTTGTAAAGGATCATTTGAGAGAAGAGACAGTTTGATGTTTCAGTGGTATATTTGATAACGAAGAAAGCAGAGTAAACCCGATCGTTTCACATGCAAAACATCTCTGGATGACGTGACATTAAAATGAGGCACCGATGCTCCGACATACAAATGTTTATAATTTCACCGAAAATTATCTAATTATCGTATTAATTAGAAATTTTGTACATGTATCATTGTTTCATTTGTTCTTTATAGAATGTTGACGAATTTTCCCTGAATTTGTCTCTTTTTTGGATTTGAAGTAATTGTCTCAATAATTTCTCAACAGCCCTCGTATTGTTATATCAGGACGATAAAAATGTAAAATAATATATGACGCGCAAAACATACTTTCGCTAGAAGGTGGTGTATTTCTGGAACTCTTCTCGTCAGTGAATAACGAAGGGGATGCTGTCGACGAAATCTGTGTCACTATTAGCTTGTCATCTATAAAAAAAAAATAGGAGAAAGTTATGTATGTTAGTTTTTACTATGATGTTATATTTTTTATTCCAAAAATAAAAAAAATAATGATTTTTTAGAGTTCAATTCATGAGGGATATTATCATTTGACAAGGTTAAACTTACCTGGTAAAATAGAACTAAAATCCTTTTTGGACATTTCTGTGCATCTACTTGTTTGAGGTGAAAAGAATCTCTCAAAGCACACTAAAATATTCAAAAGAACTTTTTAACCATATGCCTTTCGCTACGGTTATAATGTAATTAATAATTAATAATATAATTAATGTCGAACTCCCAATTAAATTGTATTCTTAATACAGGAGCATAAAATTATTCTCCTTTTAAACGGATTGCCAGTATTAGTTTAACGTTTATTACAACAAACTGTAAAATATGTAGGCGTAATTTGATGCTCATTTTAATGTTAATGTTTAATTGTATTCAATTGTGAAAAATTTAAGCACACTGTTGAACGCAGCATAATTATTTTTCTGGTATCCAAAACAGTCTCATCTTAAAAATTACTTGATAAAGTCATTGTTTCGTGTAACTGCAGTACTGTGGCGTTATAGTCAAAGACTGATATTTAAAACCATAACGCTACAGTTCTGCAGCTATGTTTCATGTAAACTGATGTTCCAAAATCAAAGAAATCGTATTTCCAAGTACTCCGTGAAATGCAATTTTAAATTTCTTTTTGTAATTTTTTTGCATAGATATTTTGTATATATATATTGATTGAGTCTATGCTTGGAGTATTTTTATTTTCTGTTGAATGATAAAAGAAAAATATAAGAATTTTAGATATACCTTTTATATTACTTTTGCCGTTTTGATACATAATAATCTATCACAATGCATACTTTAAAATGTTGGAATGCTAACAATAAACACGCAAAAAATAGTTTAATTGACCTTGTTTAATTTTTACATAAACCATATTTCGAATCACAAGCAGTGCACTTTTGACATTCTACATGTACATCGCGATCGTCTGTAAAATCGTCTGTGAAATCATCAGTAGACCCTGAGTCTTCATCGTTAACATAATTGTTCGGAGCACAGACTGAAACACACACGTGCATTATATATACAAACAATTAAGTCTCGGTAAAACAAATTATCATCTAATAATACTCCAATATCGTTAATAATACCCAACAGAACATTCGTATATATCAGAGATTAATAAATTACTGCCTCTCTCCAATTTTTTTTCTACAGAACACAAAGAGATAGGTATTAAGAATATTTTTTTAATATGCTAACGATAAATATGGGCAAAAATAGAATATTTGAATCGGAAGAAACTTGCATTATGTTCACTGATGGGTATAGAATTTGGCATTGAATTAGAATCAATTATTTTTATCTTTTTCTTTACCCTTTGTGGGAATGCAGCTTTTACAACATGAATCCTTGTTGTTACATTTCACACATTCTATACATATGAAGTACATATAATATATAAATAATTTATTAGTAAAACATTTTCCTAAACTAAAATGCATGTATAATAAACTTAAATATTAAATTTTAACAACGCAATCAAAGTATGTCTTTATATACATGTAATATGAAAAACCAGTTTAAGTCTTACCACTGCAAATATGGGTAATAGTTGCATCAGATAAAATCAGATTTCCATACAGAATAAGTAATTTCACTACAAAAGATATTTAGAGAGGTTAAACGTTGAAGCATTGAACAATAATTATTTTTTTTTAATTTTATTTGAATGAATGAGGTTCAAAGAGATGTACATGTATATATGATGTTATCTCAGATTGGCTGGTTTTGTTTAGAACAGCTTTCAAATTGTTTTTCTGAGAATATACAGTACAGTAGATGTAATTAGTTACAAGAATTAACTAGAATTGAAATATATATAATTGTTTTATCTAGTAACGATTCTAATTCGGGTACAATTATTTGAACGTTTCATTTATTTATTTACTTCAATTTAATCTTCATCATTCTAAAATTTGTATTTTGAAATTATTAATTTGATAGGCATTTTGAAAATTTATGTGAGGATTTTAACTTTATTTTCACGATAAAGAAAAAATCAGTTCAAATACCAAATGAATTAAATGAAATACTTTCATTGAAATTAGTCTTTAGATTACGTTCTAAAAAATATGAAAAATTCATCAGGATTTTTTTTTTTATATCGCAATTTGCTGTGCTATTTACACCGTGTATGACGCAAGATGAAGGGTGTATACTATGTTGTGCACGGGATGTAGGATTTCGAAGCGGAAGAAAGGGATCAAAGTACGTTTTTCTATGGAATCCGGATAGGGCCACGCAGTTTACTATCGCATCATGGCACCATCGCGGTTTAGGTCGATATTGTGATGAAGCGACAATGCGATGACGATGAAGCGATGGTGCGATAAATGAAGCGATGCTGCGTCAGTGCGATGACGACGATCCGATGGTGCGACAATTGCCATGACGATGTTGCGATAGCACGATGAAACAATAGTGCGATGATTTCATGGTTCGATAGTGATGACACGATGGTGAAATGAAAATGGTATGATAGTACGTTGACGATGAAGCGATATTCACTATCGCTCTATCGTGTTATTGCACCATCGTTATCGCATTATTGCGCCATCGCATTATCGTCATCGCGCTATCGCACCATTGCTTCATCGTTATAGCACCATCGCATTATTGTGCCATCGACCTTTTTTAGTCGATGCTCGATGGCGTGATAGTAAAATGCATAGCCCTATCCGGATTCCATATTTTCCCATTTTCTCAACTTAATATTTTTCGCAAAAAAAACCATGTATCTACAGAATGAAGCATTATTTAATGAATACCGGTATATGGGTAACTATGAGTACACTTTACGCTGTATTATTTGATCAAACACCTTAAGGGTACTTACCACAAACAAAAAATGGATGGGCGGTTTGATATATATTTTTTGACTGATTTTGATTTGTATTGATATAAAAAAAAATCCCTGAAATATAAAGAAATCGTAGGTTTTGGTTGGTGCTTAGATTTGAGATTTTATTTTGCCTTCTATATAATTCCATACAAAATTTTGCACAATTTTTTTTAAAATTTATGACAAAATCTTATAAAATTCTCCCACTCTACTTCGTAAACATTATTCTTGTTGTCAATGTAAATGTAAATCGATGAGAAATAATGATGATTTCTGAAAAAAAGTTTGATTTTTGTTATTTATCCTTTACACCATTCCGAGAACAAGAGCAAGATTGACGCTACACATTGTGTTTATAATCAAATATGAGAGAGAAGCTTCGCTTTTACATATTCTATCTTTTTGTATTGTCGTTAAATACATGTAATCTATATAAAAGTTTTACAAATTGTCTGTAAATAAAACAGTTTGCATTTATACTAAAGATATTGAAGAAAAATCAATGTTGTGCCAAGGGTGTATGCAACATGTTGTACGAGGAATGTTTAGGAATTGTGGAACGCTGCAGTGTTTGATCAAACTTTAAAACGTAAGGTAGATCCATAGATATCCATATACTCCATAGATAATGCTGTCGTCCGTAGACACATGTTTTCTGGCAGTAAATATCCGTAATTTGAGAAAATTGAAAAGGCATGTATCTTTGCCCCGTTTCTTTCGCTTCAAAAGTCTATACACCCCTTGCTAAACGTAGTATACGTCCTGTATGTTCGGATATACCGGTACTTATTTAGTTAAAAAAAAAACATAAAGTACAATAAAGTAAAACCCCCATCGCAATTATGGTATTTTATAAATTTCAAATTATGAATAATAAAAAAGTACTAGTATTCAAATGCCGACAAAGGTGCTTAAAAGGATGCTAATAATTTTGGTGGGTTTTTTTGGCGCATACACAGTTCAGTGACGTCTTGAAAGAAAAAAGTTAATTTTAAAGATAGGTTTTAGCGCATGTTTTCTACTTTTGAAACCGACTAAAACTAATAGAAGATGAAAGCCATTGTTAAACAACATACAGATTATAATTTTTCCCTTCGCACTTAAACACAAGTAAGCGAGTAAAAGTTTCAACATACTTCCTCAAAACTGCTTAAATCAGTTTTCCAGCTAAAAATTCTCGTTTTATGGTTAGTAAGACAAGTGGATAAGAAACGATGTCACCAATAAGTTTAGCGTTAATAAGTTTTTTTTTTTTTTTTTTTTTTTTTTTTTTTTTTTTTGAAAATTGCAATTTTCATGTGTATATAATATTCGGTTCGATTTTTTATTTTAGTTTTTTAATGCAAAACATGAAAATTCTCTGTCACTGATGTTACGTATAAGTACAGCTTTTATATGAATAAGATCAGCTTTTCAAATTGCTTTTAAAAGTGTATTTTCAATGCCAACCTCCAGTTCTTAATTTACATCGCAATTGTTCCCACTTCCGATGTTTTTGAGGTCCGTGTTTGCTCGATCTGTTCCTAATTTTTATTGCTTAATGGACTTTTGGTCTTGAAAACTTTTCGTAATTTCTATATAACGTTTCATTACATTAATTCTCTCATTTTGCCTCGACTTTTACATGTACATGCTAAATCATAATTTCTCAATCTTCATTGGGAATATAACATTTAGAGAGAAAAGGAATCAGATACATGTATAATCAAACAACCTACCTATTATTTTCCTCATATTCTGTTGTTGACTAAAAGTCATAATTTCCTCTGCAAAGAGCTCTTAAATCACAGGGAACAGGAAATTTTACAGTTTATTTATAAATCTTCCTGCACCCAGTGGTTTTTTTTTTTGTTCATGTTTTCTAATAGTGTATCTATTTACAATGTGCTTTTCGCTTCCCGTTTGCTGAGGATCAGTTACAAATAAGTCTTTATTAGTATTTAATGCAGCATCTTGCTTATAAATACATGTATAGACTTGTTTATCTAAAAAAAACTAATACATATTATCTTTCCATAAAATCGGATTTTATTTTAACGGAACGATGTTGCCCTTTGCTTCTTAAAATTGATACGACTCAATGATCTATTTTAAATCTTAAGTCCAATTTATATATAATTGTCATAGTGAATAAAAAAATTCATCATTAATCAGTGTTGGCATTGTTTCAGATCCAGGTGCCTCTTTCCTTTCTATTTTTAGCTCTACTTGTTAGATACCAGAAGAGCTTATGCTATAGTAAGCTTACGGTGTCCGACGTCCGTCCGTCTGTCTAGCTGTCTGTCTGTCTGTTGTTTGTCTGTCTGTCTGTGAATATCCTTTACTACTCTACAGTTTCGGTTTGATTTCAATATTTCTTATCATACAAGTAGACTACACTGAGATAAAACATTCTCTTTATCAGTGTTTGAATGCGATGATTGGTGTTAGTTTTTTTTTATTAAAAATATAATTTTTGTGAAATACTCTAAAAATGCTATTTCCAATACAGTTTTTGTATGATTTCAGTGTTCCTTGGCACAGAAGTAGACTGTACAAAGATACATACACTCTGTAGTTCTATTCACCGCTTTTCGATTTGGATGAACGGTGTTGCAGTGGTTACTAAGAATAGAAATTTCTGTGAAATAATTTCAAAATGCTACCCTATATACAGTTTCATTCTAATTGTAATATAAAGTGACATGCAAGAAGACTGCACTGAGATGCATAATTGTATTTATTTTTTTTTTATTTTGATGAATGGTGTTGCCAACTGAAATTGAAAATTCTGATAATAATTAATAATTTAATTTTACTTGTAACACGCCATTTGATTGGGTAAAACATTTTATCCATTTTGGATAACATAACTTGTCTACGTCACAATGAGTTACGTCAAAAACGTATTACTCCGCTTGACGTTACTTTTGAAATTAAATCATTGTGAAGCCTTACTCTGGGGAGAAATTATCTCATTGTCCATGTGTTGTCTGCACTTAAATTAAATTATAAGGAATGAAGCTTATTTCAACTTATATTATACGATATAACAAAACTTATTCTACAGTTGTAGTCTTCATTAAATCTTGCCTTAAAAGGGTTATTATTCTATTTATTATCGTAAAGTTTCAGTCCCAGCAGTCATTTTCTATCCTTTTGTTATAAGTACAAAACAGTAGAACTACAGTCTCGACAGAGATTTCTGGTTAGTAATTAAACTCCATTAGACTACCCATTTCTGACATAAATAGAAGGTCAGTAAATGCATGAATATTGTTTAAATTGTTCAAAAATGTAATATCCTTTCATAAAAATTAAAATAATGATAATAATTGATACATCATTCCATCAATATACACGAGCTGCAACATTATTTAACATTTTCATCTTGAATTGTATCAAGGCCTATAAACAATAGAGACGTCTTCAGAAAATAATGAAAGTATTTCACTCGAAAGAAGCGCATATTTTTATTATCAGAAAAGAATTTTTTTTTTTGTTGTTTCCAATTTTAGATCAGTAGAAATTCTTTATAGCTATCTCTCAGTTATAAATATTCTTAGTATCTCGAACAGTCGATATCAAATTGAATTCCAGTACTGGATTTCAAAAATCCTTAAGCACAGATTCACTGTACATATTGGGTTTCGGTAAATGTTCTATCAAGTCTCTTCTTTATTTCCTTTTCCTTAAATTATTTAAGAAGAAAATTTTAAGGGAACTGCACAGCAGACTATTTGAGAAATGGTGTAAACTAGATATTGATGCTTAAATAACTTTCTAAGTAATTGAGGTTTTGCCATATGACACTGAGCCGAGAGGACGTGTTTTGTCGAAGATCCGTGTGTTTTGGTTTATTTTTGGAAGTTTAGGTGCTTTTGTAGTGAATTTGAATTCCCACACTATTCCTTTGCTTTCTACGCTTCTGTATATATATTTTTCTTTTTGATTTTCGTGAATTTGATGGATTTATCTAACTTATTTAACTATTTGCTTGGATATCTAACTTGTGAGAACACCGTGAGTAGTGATCAGTGATTACCGTGTCCACTTGTTACCTATCCTGAACTGTCTATCACTCGTGCATGTTTGCAATGGTTCATTATCTTAGCAGTCTTGCCTGAGTGTTTGACCGGTATTACTCAACTGTAAAGTCATGGGGTTAATCAAACCTATATATTTCAAGGACAAGGAAGTGCAAGTGAATGCAACAAATGTTAACCGTATTTCTGATTATGACTAATCTGTTGAACTGATAAAATTGTGTCAGATATTCTTTGTGTTCAAAAAGACAGAAAGTTGTGGAGAGTCTGTGTCAAAACATTAAAGAGCAGATCGAAACTTCTACAGGAGGGTATTGATGTTAGAACAAGCACAACAATGTCTATGACAACAACCCCTTCTCTGTGGGAATCAAGGACCCATCTGAACAGGTAATGAAGATAACTGTCAAAGGGGTCCTGCTGTCTGTAGATGGTGAGGAGATCTGAAAATGCTTAAACAATTCGATCTTAATTTCATAAGTGATCTGACGTTTGAGAAAATTAAACATACAGTAACACGGAAAATGACTGAGATTTTGAACGGAAATTGTTTAATTTATGTAAGTACGCTTTCAGAAGGAAAATTTCTCCCTCGTACATGTAGATCATCACAGTGCTGGCTTTTAGTGCTTTATCTACCATTACGAACAGCCTTCTCATGCGTATTTTATAAAATTAATCAATATTAAGATCTCCGTGAATTCTTTATAATTTTTATGAGTTAACACGCAGATACTTTCAAATCAAATTAAAGGAATGTCCTTTACACCAGTGGTATGTTTAACAAAAATACGTACGACTTAGACCAAAAACTTCATTGATTGTAAATCTTTGTAAAATTGATAATTCTGTATAGAATTGGTGGTGTAAGATTACCTGCCTACATTCGTAGAAAAATATTGAATTCATTATCAATAAAATATACACATAACGTAAAGTATAAATAAGGAAGTTTTAAACAGAACTAAATGTTGGTCTTTAGTCATAAGTTCTTCTGTAAAACGAGTCCTGGTTCCGTCTTTGCATGCAATTTTTTAACTTACGTTTATATCAATTCTTATTATACTGAAAATAATATCATATATTAGATAATTTGAAAACGTACCTTGTGTATTGGTCATTTTATATTACATGTTAATATAAAAAAAACTCTTCCTAAAACTCCTTCTGCATGAATTTTATATGTAGATATTGACGGAAACAGGAAGTTTACTTCTTAATTACATCTCATGCATCTGTGTTTATTTTGCTTGAGCTAAAGCATCAGTTGGGTTTTTTCCTCATTATAATTTGTTCAGCGTCCGCCTAGTCTGTCCGTCCCTCTGTAAATTTTAGACATTTTTTATTTCTTTTCAATAACCACTTTACATCTCAACCAATTCAACTAAGCATATTCTCGACTTATTTTAGGGGATTGAGGGGGTGAGGAAATAGGGCCAGATTAGGTTATAATTATTAATTTGTTTTTATTTTAACGATTATTAAAGAACAAGGTTCACTTTTGCCCTTTGTTGACCCTAGGAATTTTTGAAAATGAAACTGCTTAATTTTTGTTAACAATGCATTAAGTAACATTTAGTCCTTTGGTGATTGCATGTCTATCAAAAATTACTTAATTTTCTGGCTAGTCAATGCATCATGACGTTACTAAACGCGTCAATTTGACTATATTATGAAAAAGACTACAAAACTGCCATGTTTTTATGCAATTTTACAATATTTAATATTGAGCGCAACCTCTGATCTAAAAAGCAATTAATAAATGATAGAACTGTTTCTGCGAATTGCAAGTTTTTAGATTAGAGGATGTGCTCATATTACTTTTATCTCTAAAAGTACTCAAATATACATGTACCTGTTTAAGGACAAACGATACGTTCCTTATAATATATAGATTTTGTCATTGAAGCATGTTAACTCACAAAAATTGAGGTACCTTTCCAGGCATTTGTCAAGATACCAGAGGGTATTTTTTTCATAAGGTGAAATTCATAATTTCAGGAACTTTTATGAATCGTTCATGAACATTCATGATGTGTTCATGAATGGTTCATGACTGGTTCATAAAGATGGTTCATGAACTTTATTCATGAATATATTCATAAAATGTAGTTCATGAACAAATGATGAATATATATGAATATTGGTAATTTTCATTTTAAAGACAGAAAAAATGAGTTCAAGGTGTTATATGAATGTTCATGAATTTTCATGAAGACTAAAATAATTGACAAAAACGATTGACAGAAAACACTCATTACTCTTATAATACAACTTTTGCATGCAGATGCAATTGTTGAACAAGCCCCTGCTATAATTTATATTTAATAACATTCTTTCACCAACTGTACAATATTAAAAACAAACACTGCATCATCATTAACAGCATTTTTTTTCAAATTGATTACTTATGTGTCCCTTCATAATTTAAATTAAACAGTTATATTCATCATAATGTCCTTTAAATAATGTCTTTCTCATCACACAACTTTGTTCAACCGAATTTTCTTTAACATCAAACTTTAAACAAGTTGTTGGAAGATGAAATATTCTGGGAAAAAAAACTTTATGAGCTTCGTAAAAAACGTTTTTATATATTTATCAACAACTAAAAATTCTCCTGTGCGTCTTCACAGCTCAGAATATTCAGTCTGAGAACGAGAGATTGTTAAACGGGGCCGCCATGCATACGAAACTAAAATGCAATACATGTATAATTGATGACGTAAAAAATTCGAATTCTTCATTGATAAAATTTATTTTGATATAAAAAATTGTATTTTCAGTGAAAAATTATTCAGAAAGTGTTTGTTATATTTTT